CATCTGATTCCCTTGAGAGGGCGAGGCCTGTTTCTTGTTTATTCTTTGCTTGCAGACATTCAGCCTATCTTAGGCACCAGCCTGGCCTTTCTAAGGACCAGTACGTGCAAAACCTACTGAGGTGGAGAAATCCTTCTGACATTAAGAGCATCTCTGTATATTTTGTGTTAAGAAAGGCCATTTTAGAAATACATGCCTCTCAAGGCCGGAAAACTTGCTCACCTAAGATCGCTAAGAGGACTGGTCTTCCAGTCTTGGGTGTATATACTTTGTCCCCTAAAATGCCATATGATTGTTTTTACATCTTTGTATCTGTATAAGGGGATTCTGTTTTGGTACACACAAAGGCAAACACCATTGGCCGTGAATGCCATAGATGTTAGACCACTTGTCAAACCTGTTCTCAAACATTTTCTGGTTCTGGGTTTATTACAGCAAGAGGAGATTATTATTCAGATTATCTCTGCTCGTACTACTCCTATAGTTTTGAAATTCCCATTGTTGTATAAGCACAATTCAAGGATTTTACTATTATCATGATGGAAAGTCATGATTTTATTAAAGACAAGGAGGCGAGTATTATGCTGCACTCTTTCTTTAATTCCCTCAGCAGCAAAGAAACATTATTTGAAAAAGATAACATTTGAACAGGTATAAACATCATAATGATAATTTCCACCTAGCAACATGACCCTGCAATCAGTGACATCCTTCTCCTATAGTAGGCGGAGCATTGATGACCTTTTCCTCTTTCTTGCGAATCCCGAAGAATAAACTCCGAACAAGGAACGGACAAACAAATGAACCGGAACTATGCCTGTGATTCAGAGACTTCTTTCAACCAAGTCACGCTAACAGAAACAAGAAAATATGGTAATGTCCAGAAATCGAGGTTTGCCAGCATATATAGAGGACTGATCGTCTGATTAAACATTGATAATTCATAAATGTAGTGTGAGGAAAATACCAGCCTGAAGATAACAGTGACAAATAAAGTCCATCATTAAGTAAGGCCCTAGAGCAATGTAGGAATGTGATGGCATCAGCAGCATCAAATTGAACTTACCATGGGGAGGTCTGTAACTTACCTTAACCCACATCCAAGCCGTCCAAGGGCGGGCGGGTTTCTCTAATACTCGCCTCCGTGTCTTTAATAAAATCATGACTTTACGTCATGATAATAGTAAAATCCTTGAATTTTATTAAAGACCCGGAGGCTCCTATTATACTATTTCAAAGCTGTGATATCACGGCTTCTGCGAAATGCTGGATTGGTTGGAAATAGAAGTTACGGAAAGTAGATTCCATGGATCAATCAGCTGCTTTCAAAATATCCTCCAAACGACAACCAACAAAGGAAGCTTTGGAGGCCACGGCACTGCGAACTGAATGAGGAGAAAATATGGAGGTATTAATGCCTGCCAAGGACATGAGCCACTTGACCCAGCGGGCCAGGGTGTGAGAGGATACCGGAACATGCGGTTTGCAAAAGGAGATTAAGAGCTGGGGTTCCGAACCAGTCCGGAGGGGTGCGGTACGAGCTTCGTACACCCTGAGACACGCTACCGGGCAGAGGAGCGGCTTTGTGGGGGAAGCCAGATATCGGACTGACCGGGAGGATGATTTTGTTCTCCGCGAGATGTCAAAAATTACTCCGTCTGGGGAGAAGGAGCGGGCATTGACACTGAGTGCTCTAACGTCTGATACTCTTTTACATGAGATTAGGCACAATAGCATGACCAGTTTAGCCGAGAGTTGTTTCAGGGATAAAGCCTCGTTGTCTGGCCACATAGTCAGGAAATTCAATACCAGGGAGACGTCCCATAGGGATGAATAACGAGGTAAAGGTGGCCTTGCGCATTAGATGCCACGGAGGAGGCGACAGACAAGTGGGTGTCGTCCTACCGGGGTACCGTCAATGCCGGGGTGGCCGGCTGAAATCGCTGAGTGGTAGAGGTTTACCATCCGATAAGCTTTCCCATTCTTATAGAGGGAAGTTAAGAATTGGAGGACTGTTGTCACAGGATAGGGGATCCACACCCCTGTTGTCACAGTTGATAGGGGATCCACACCCCTTGCCATGCACCAATCATCTCATGTGCGCCAAGCGGACTTGTAAAACTGTCTCGTGCCAGGTGCCCATGCGTCCTCGAGAAGTCGGAGAGTCGATTGCCCAGGGTCCCCGGAAATTAGCCATGCCGTGAGGCGAAGGAGACCCTGGAGGATCAGGGGGAGGGTCCCGTCGGGGTCCCGCAGGAGGGACTGGGAGTCCAGGTGGAGTCTTGGGCGATCTATAGCCATCTCTAGTAACGGAGGGGGGTTATTATCACTAGGCAGCCCAAGTGGCGCTGCAGGTGAAGCAGGCAGGGATAAGGGCGAATGGAGGGAATGCATAGTTCCTAGAGGTGGACCAGTCTTGGGAGAATGCATTCGTAGTCAAAGCTTTCGGGTCTGGCCTCCAACTGAAAAAGTTTGGAAGTTGGGTATTCAAGCGAGAGGCAAACAAGTCTATTGCTAGAGGACCCCATAGGTCCCAGATGTACTGGAAGGTATTGGGATCGAGGTGCCAGTTGCTGGAATCCCGCAGATGGCGGGAATACCAATCCGCTGTAGTGTTGGACAACCCTGGTAGATATTCTACTCTGACAGCAAGGTTGTGTTGAAGGCAAAATTGCCAGAAGTCTCGAGCCAGATTTGCTAGGACCTCGTGCCTCCCAGATGGTTTATGTAACGGACAGCCGAGATGTTGTCCATCTTCAACAGAATTGAGCACTGGGATAGGGTCGGGGATAGGCTGCGAATCGCAAAGGACCCCGCCAGGAGTTCTAAGCAATTTATATGTAAGGAAGACTCTAATTCCGACCATCGCCCGCCTGTGGAGACATCTCCGCAATGAGCTCCCCACCCGTATGAGCTCGCGTCTGACTCTATGACTACATTTGGAGCCGAACCAAAAATGGCTTTGCCATTCCACGCCTCCATGTGTTGGAGCCACCAGTGGAGTTCTTCCTTTGCTTCTGCATCTAGTGTCAGAGAATCCTCGTATGAAGCGCCGCACCTGAGGTATGACGTCTGTAGGCGTTGGAGGGCTCTGTAGTGAAGGGGGCCTGGAAATATGGCCTGTATAGAGGCAGCCAGGAGCCTGATGACACGGGCCAGGTGCTTGAGAGATAGTTGAGGGGAGGCCAGAACACGCCTTATCTCTTTTTTGATACTCCTCATTTTGGAGGTAGGTAAAAATAGGGTTTGCATCACCAAATCCACTAGGAGGCCTAGGAACTCTATTTGCTGAGTGGGAACTAGTATGGATTTTTCCCAGTTGATAATGAATCCCAGGTTCTGTAGGAAGGTTGTGGTCCAACTGAGGTGAGTATGCAGTAGGGGCACCGATTGGGATAGCAGTAGGATATCGTCTAAGTAAATGATTAGACGAATCCCTTGACTGCGCAGAAGCGCAATAACTGGTTTCATGAGCTTGGTGAAGCACCAAGACGCAGAAGAGAGACTGAAGGGAAGGCAGCGGAACCGCCATTTCCTTCCTTGCCATGTGAATTGCAGGAAATCCTGAAGGGCCTCCGCAATGGGCACTGTGAGACAAGCGTCTCTTAGATCGAGTTTTACCATCCAGTCTGATGGTTGGAGCAAATCCTGTAGGCAATGAATGCCTTCCATTTTGAAATGGTGGTAGCGTACATAGGAATTTCGGTGTTTGAGATTGATGACTGGGCGGGTACCGCCACCCTTCTTGGGGACAATAAACAGGTTGCTCACAAAACCCGGGGTATGCATCGGGATTTCTAGAATAGCCCCTTTGAGTGCCAACTCTTGGATTTCCTCGGAGACAAGGATTGTGTCTGACCGGGAAAAAAACAATCTCCCTGGGTGGGGATTGCTGGATGGGTAGAGACACAAAGTCTATGAGATATCCTTGGACTGCCCTGAGTATCCAGGCATCTGTAATGAGGCAAGTAATGAGAGCCCAGATATGGGAAAAATGTGTGAGTCTGCCCCCTATTGCTATAGGTGAAGAAAAACAAGGTAGGTACCTTACCGTAAGGACGTCTTCTGGAAGGAGCGCCTCGTGAACCTCTCGACACCAATGGTCTGCCACTTTGGGGAAAGAAGGTCAGGGCAAAAGGGGGTCTCCCCATGTAGGAGCCTCTGTTCGGGCATGAACCTCTATTAAATCTGCCGGACAGACGGCCCCTTGCTGAAACACCCTTTTCATATTTAATTGCGCCTTGTCCAAGGCAGTTAAAGTTTGGACGTATTCGCCCAGGTCTTTAACAAATGAATCTCCAAACAGAAGACCTTTGGCTTGAGGGCCTAGTTCTGTAATTGCCATGTTAATGAGCTTGGGTTCTATTTTTAATAGGATTGATTTACGGCGCTCTGTGGCAAGAGCGTTATTAGCATTGCCAATTAGGCATATTATTCTTTGGATCCAACCCCTAATCGTGAACCGATCTAGGACCTCATCCTTGGCCAAGGCTTCTTCTACAGCTTCAAATATTTTGGTTGCTGGGCCTAGAATATCTAGAACCTTATCCTGGCAGTTATATAATGAGAAGTCTAAGCCTTTTTTAGGCTTCCATCCAGTTTTGCTTAGGAACTGGATAATTTTGGGATCAATTTGAGGGGTCTTACAAACCTCGTCAGGTACAGTGGGGCGTGGGCATTCCGCCCTTAATTTATTTCGGGCCACTTTATCTAGGGTCTTGCGGACCCGGGATGCGACATATTGCGTCACATGTTCAGCCGGTGACCATTCCGCTGAGCGGGGGTGACGTAAGTCATTAGGTTCAAATAAGGGTTCGCCCTGTGGGTCGTGTATTTTGCCCTCTTTAATTAGATCAGATTTAGATGTGTCTGTGGTATGCAAGTCAGTAGAGGCTTATGAATCCAAACCAAATTCGTAGTCTGAATCTAAATCAGATAAATCATTTGAGTGGTTGGAGTTTAGTGAAAATGTACTCTCCTCTTCTGAACTGAGTCCAGACTCAGTAATCTTGCTGGGCTTTTGCCCATTTCCAATGCATAGCCGCTTTTGCCCGGCTAGAGGCTCTCTTGCGCGGTGGATCATTATGCGCGCCATCGGTGACAGGTTTCGAACTGTCCATCATTTTTTTGGATGAGTGCCTTACTTTGGCCGAGGCCTTGCGGCCTGGGTGTGTAGGATGAGAGACAGTGGGTATCGCGGCTGGTATAGCTGCCGGAGGGGCCGCTGATTGGGCTTGTAAAATCGCTTGTGCAAATGATTTTGAGATAGATGAGGACATAATGTCCATAGCAGATGCCAGGGCTTTTGACACAGTAGTGTCCATTATTGCCTGAATTTCTTCAGAAGCTGGGAATTCAGCCTCATCCCCAGAAATCATATGAGGTAAAACCAGGGAAGCTTGGGGGTTAGATTGAACCCCATTATAGTTAAACCAGGTATTTTATTGATAAGAAAACAGAGGAACGAACTGGATTAAGTAACCCAGATAAATTGCCAAATAGAAATAAAGATTGTAACAATACCAACTACTCACAGCCACAAGGGGGAGAGCAAAGCACAGAGAACTGTCCGCCACTAATTCTGGACACCCACTCCGACCAGAGGGCGGAGTGGGCGTGTCAGAGTAAAAAAGGCGGCCGCGAAAACTCGCACCAAACATATGCTCGTCGCGGTTAAAAACGGATCGCTAATGTGAGCGAGGTGGCCGCAGTGGGGACATGACTAACGATCATGTCAGAGATAATGATTGAATGCGCGATCTGAATTTTTGTCCGACCGGGCAACCAACCGGTCCGCAAAATGGCCGCCGGGTGTCTCTGACGAGACGCGCATGCGCGGCTGAGCAGGAGTCCAACTGCCCGCAAAAACAATCTTTTGGTGCAATAATGGGCGAAAGCAGATAATGTGCAGTAGCACAGGGAAGGACAATGTATTGGGTATATATATGTACAATATGTATGTGGAATTGCAGGGAATCCGGTGTAATATAAAATAAGCAAACACAATAGTAAGTTTAAAATTTACAGGTACCACAGAAACACAATAGTAAGTTTAAAATTTAAAGGTACCACTAAAAATAAGAATGAGCATTTAAAGGTACAGTAAGATAAAAACATCAAATGTAACAGAAAACAAATAGTATATGAAGCAATCACAGGAGAATTGTGAGAGGTGTACTTATCTGAGGGAAGCAGCAAAGAAAGAGGAAATGGTCATCGATGCTCCGCCTACTATAGGAGAAGGATGTCACTGATTGGAGGGTCATGTTACTAGGCGGACATTATCATTATGATGTTTATACCTGTTCAAATGTTAACTTTTTCAAATAATGTTTCTTTGCTGCTGAAGGAATTAAAGAAAGAGTGCAGCATAATAGGAGCCTCTGGATCTTTAATAAAATCCCATTATTGATTGAGTTACTGCTCAAATAACCACTCGGGGTCCAGGTTGTTCTGATAACTGTTTACTGTCTACTATAAGAACAGTGTTGAGTATTAACACTCCCACTGCTCCACCTCTCTTTACTGAGATACCTTCCCATTATCTTGAATTGAATTCTCAAAGGTCCGATGATTGTGCCATAAGTCTTCTGCCTAGTACTATGCTGCCCACACTTGGGGTTTACCCTTTTTCTCCTAAGGAGAATTAGGTCATGGAGTAGTATATTCAGTAAGCATTACACAAGGGCTATATTAGATAGTCCTCTTCACCTGCTGGTGCAGGGTGCTTCTCTGTGTTTAGAAACAAAGGTAACTTGAGACCTTGCTTTGATTACAGAGGTATAAATTAAATATGAATAAAAAACATGTACACGATTCCACTCATCTCCAAACTCTTTGATTGCCTGAAGGGTTCAAGATGGTTTACCAAACTGAATCTGAGAGGGCCATACAACTTGGTAAGGATAAGGGAAGGTGATGAGTGGAAAACGGCCTTTAACACTTAACTGTTCACTCTGAATACCAGGTCATGCCATTTAGGTTATGCAATGCTCTTGCTGTATCCTTTCAGGATTATATTAATGATGTGTAAAGGCATTATTTGCACAGCTTTGTTATTGTCTACCTAGACATTATTCTTATCCATTCTACAGATCATGTAACATATCATGCTTCTCTTTATCATTTATAATATAAACATAAAATAATGATAAAGATATAGGTAAGCAATATGTAGTAGCAAGAATATATGTAATGTGCAGTCATAGTCACAATGTGAACAGCAGTAATAAAGTAGAATAGATTGGAGTTCCAATATGGAATTTCACATTCCTTCATGCTGAGTGCATATATTCTGCAGTGGTAAGTTAAAGAATGAGTGAGATGTCTTGAAAAAAATGTTAAGAACACACAAAGTACTGAAATAGTAGTTAGATGGGAGCAGGATAAGAATCCTACGCAGTAAATAGCCTAATTTAAGCATCAATAAAAAACACATAAAAAATTAAAAGCAGGGTATTAGCTAACAGACTAAATCATAAATGTATTAATTAACTGATAACCAGCTTAATGCACAGGCTTTAACAGGGTAATCAACAGTCTTGTTCATGGGAGATTAATCACCCTACTCCTATACAGTTGGTGTAGCATTGAATGATCATCATCATGAGTAAAGACAGAGTCAACCCATGAGCTCTGCAAGCATCAATATGTTGCTGCCAGAGCCCAAGAGGAGCCACCAACCGGCTCCCCAGATAATTAGTTGCAAAATTCAATTAGAATAACAGAATTTCAACTGGATTTGCAATTCTGATATTTACTAAAGGCAAATACAGTTGAAATGTTATTAATTAAATGAAATGAGTTAATCTCCAAAATGACAAGTCTTGTGCTGTGTTCCCAGTATGCAGTGGTTAGTACCGACCAAAACCGGTGCATGGAAGGACAACCAGTGAACCGTCATCAGGGTCATGGGCGCAAAAGGCTCCTTGATGCACGTGGGCAGCAAAGGCTAACTCATCTGATCACATCACACAAAAGAGCTACTGTAAAAAACACCTACAGACGTAGATGGGAACAGACGCTCGCCAAAACATTCTCCGATTCCCAATGGGAAAAAATACTAATTCTACATCATAAATGCTCTTCTTGCTCAAAATATCAAGAGACCAACTACAAATTGCTGGCATTCTGGTACAAGACGCCAGATAACTTACATAGAATATTCCCAGAGGTACCCAACACGTGTTGGAGGTGTGGCACAAACCCGGGAACACTGATACACATCTGGTGGGACTGCCCACACATCACACCATTCTGGAACGAGATACAACAAAAAAACAAGGAGATACTAGGAAATGAAGGGAACTTCGACAAGGAACTGGCCCTACTACACTCCACACCAGCCCCCAATCGTAACCTACAGGAAATCATTCCTCCAACACCTTCTAAACGCAGCCAAAGCCCTGATCCCGCTGTATTGGAAGCAAACCGCAATCCCCACAACAGGGCAATGGTTGGAAAGAATTGAGGAAATATATACGGCAGAATCGATACAGGCATCCCTCCTGGGAACCGAAGAGAAACATACAGACAGGTGGCGACTGTGGCTGATCTACGTGGCGGAGCAATCTGCACGGACAGGAGGAAACACGTGAACACAGCTACAGACATGAACACTGCAACCAGAACGACAAACCCCCACCCGTTCGAACGCAGCACACCCCCGAGCACGGAGAACCGAACAAACGCTGATGGGTGGCCCCACTCCTCCACCCTCTTCATCCTCATCCCCTCCCCCATTTCCCCCGTCCCCCACCCACCACACCCTCCCTCCTGGTGCCCCCTACCTCTCCTGCCCCCTACCTCTCCTGCCCTTCCTATCCCCCTACCCGCTTTCTACTGACTGCCCACAGAACGCTGTAACTGACTAGACACTAGCAACTCGACCGTTAACACATGACGTTCGGTATATTACCCACCATCAACACTCATCGCCGACAGAAACACCCGATGAGCACCTAACCGAGCCCAAACTATGAAGCACATTGACGTCCCAGCCCTCACAACAGGGACAATTCTACACATGAAAATATATTCAACGATATTAATCACTCCCATAAACACAGGATCCCTGGGCCACATCTTTAGAAACTAGAATTACCCACCAATTGACGTACACACTCAATGCCGACAGAGGCTTTAGGTACCTATGGGAATGACAACAGTCATACAAAACACTCAGTTGTGAAAAAGTTGAATTTTTTTATGTTTTAAATCTTTATGTAACTCGAAAAATTTTTATTGAAAACTATTGACGCAAAAAGCTTGCAACGCTCGAAAAACGCAGGACCTGCGTGTCCCACCTTCAAAAATTACCAAACTGCATGTACTAAACTGCCATATCTCATGCACAATAAACAGCTTTGAAACACAAGAGCTACTGTAGTTCAAATACCTAATAAACCTAATGCTGGCCATAATAAAAAGCTGTCAGAACACACAGTGCGTCGCAGTTTGCATCGTATGGGGGTGCATAGCCGCAGACTGGTCAGAGCGCCCATGATGTGCACAGCCAAAAGTGCCTTCAATGGGGATGCGAGAGTCAGAACTGAACCAGAGAGCAATGGAAGAAGGTTGCCTGGTCTGATGAAACCCATTTTCTTTTAGATTAGGTTGATGTCCGGGTGTGTATTTGTCATTTACCCATGGAAGAAAAGGCAGCAGGATACACTATAGGAAGAAGGCAGGCTGCAGCAGCAGTGTTATGGTCTGGGTAATGTTCTTATGGGAAACCTAGGGTTCTGGCATTCATGTGGATGTTACTTTAACATGTACCACCTACCTAGAGATTGTTTCAGACCACTTACACCCTTTCATGTCAGTGGTGTTTCCTAATGGCAGTGGCCTCTGTCTGTGTTGCCTTGGCCTCCAAATTCTTCAGCCATCAATCCGATTGAGCATCTATGGGAAGTGCTAGAACCAACAAAGCCGATCCATGGAGGATCCACCTTGCAACTTGCAGGATCTGCTCCTAATGCCTTGGTGTCAGATACCACAGAACAAGTTCAGAGATCTTGTGTTGTCCATGTCTCGATGCATCAGAGTTGTTTTGGCATATGGTTTTAATGTTTCAACTGATCAGTGTATGCATCCTTCACTGGAGGAAAGACAAAATGCATCTTAACCTGTGTAGCAAAAAATCCTTGCATTGGCCCTGCAGACATGCACACAGACACAGAGACACACATCCACACCTAAGGATGCTCAGGCACATACACAGGTACGTAATGCCAGAGACACAAACACCCTAAGCCAGAAATGCTCAGGCACATACACAGGCATATAATGCTAGACACACAGACACGCTCAGTGTGCCGCATAC